ATGGGCGGGCCTGTCGCTCACCACTAGGCCTACCCACGACTTGTTTCTCCTGTCACTTGGTACCTATCATAAAAAAAATACAAACACGAAATAGTTTTCGTCGAGTCACCGTCGCGGAAGCCTATGACTAAGCACCATGGACTCGTTTCGAAAAATATCGAGCAAAAATTCCACTAAAATACGCGAGTTATCTATTAGTATATTAAACTAAGTATTACGTCGCCGGAAATTTAAGAACAATTTCATATAAATATTATAATATTTGTCACACCAATATGTAGATAAATAATATGATTTTACTAAAATCTAACATCAAACGAATATTTTGTAATTAATTTAATTTGTTCATAATCAACCGCGACTCGTTATTTTAATATCTTTATTATACTTTGTTTTTTTTTTATATAGTGCATTGACAAATTATTATAATTTTAAATCGAAAGTTAACAATCATGTTTATTGCAACACTTCCTATACTTGGTATAATAAAACCACATGTGATCATCGTCAAAACGTTTATCACATAATGGTCTTAAAAAGAATACGAACTACATGAAACAAATGATGTATTTGCGAAGCTTTACAACTGTTAAAAGAAAAAAAATGTTATCAACTCATTTCGTTCATAGAATCTTTAAGGCGGGGAGTAACCGGATCTTTTTGGCGTAAAGTAACTAGAGCATTCGCATAGTCAATACAGCGAGTCATGCCAATGTCGCGTTCGCGGCGACTGTGTCGGTATCCTTTGAGTGTTACGTTACGTTCTAATTTAGGTCACTACAGGACTTCGATTCAGAACTCTTCGATATTTTAAACCGAATCTTTCGATTGGATATCGTTCTCGAATCGAAAGACGCTTTCCGAGTTATTCAGAACATTCGAATTAAACGTTCGATTCGGATTCGGTTACGATATCGTTATCCAACAGCGTCTATGGAGTTAGTCGGTGAAATCGATTATAAGAAAAATGAAAATCCTTTTATATACATTTTTAAGAGTTTAAAGTCCTAAAATGTAGGAATGCATTAAAATAAATTAATAAAATTGAACAAAATCCAGACTTTATCTAAAATAATAAGAGATTTTTATTTTACATTCGAGCTTTGTAAACAATAGGAGGTTCGGTAACTGTCATTCGATAACTGTATTCTGAATAACGTAGCCTTTGCTGGTCGAGAAGTTCGAGTAATCCTAAATTTTCGTACCTACCTGTACTTATACTCATATTTGGAGGCTATTGTTATAATTTAATATTATATTTGTAAACTTACATTATTAATTATATTGCTTACTTTCATTACTTACACTATTTACATTTTTTGCTTTACATCTTACACTTTTGCTTGATATTTGTATATATATATATGTATAGTATTTAGAGTTAGGTATATATATTTGCGTGTGATGCACTTTGGTGGCATGGCTTACTGGGCTGCGATCGCTCACCATATGGTACTGGCAGAAAACCAGCACTGTTTGACTTCTCTCGTTCTACAGTATTTATACCGAGTCAGGGCCATTTCAGCACAAACTGTAGTTATAGGTATACAGTATTTGTCTTTCTCGCAATATGTGTTTTATATAAATGTGTATAAAATATGTGCTTTTGTGTTATACTCTGTGAAGTGATTGTAAATGTTTTGTTTCTGTTTGTATTTGTGCTGAATAAACGTGTTATCTATCTATCTAATCGTATGAGTGTGACGTCATTTCGGTTCGGCTTCGAATACGACAGTTTGAAGTTCGATTCGGGTGTTGTGGATAAAAATTGAAAGAAATCGTACGATATCAAATCGAATCGGTCGACAACTGCGTTATCGTAAGGTTCTGAGTCGGCCCACAGCTCGGACAATCGTTGCTAGCGCATTGTGGGGAGTGCATACATATCGAGCGTCATTACCTGTTTTTTTTAAAACACAATGGAGTGTCATCCGACATTTCGGCTCCGAGTCCAGAGCACAATTGAGCGCACAGTTCTAAACGAACAGTGACACCGGCTATGCCCGTTGCGAATGTTACTTGTTGTTGTTTGTCGAAATGATCCGGTCAGTCGCCGCTTTTCAACCTCTCTCCTGAAAAGTCGTCATTTTCCAGATGTGTTCTTATTACACCAAGGCTGCAATTTATTCTTAATTTTTATAAACTTTGAAAATATATGCAGGGTTTATATATAGACAGAACGACAATGTCCTTTGAAGACAGTCAACAGAACATCATGTTTCACAATTAGGTCTAGGACTTTCGATCTGTCTCGTCGAAAGTGGCATAGAGTTAAATAAATAAATAACAAACATTGGACAACATGACATACGTAGCTCTGATCCCAAAGTAAGTTTTTAGTAGCAGTAAAACACTGCCACCTTTCTTATTTCTGCCGCCAAGCAGTAATGTGAGCATTAACTGTGTTTCGGTTTTGAAGAGTAAAGGTGCTGGTGAATTTACAGGCACTTATAACACAGGCAGTGGCAGTGTCGCTTAACACCAGGTCCACCAGGCAGACCTGTTCGTCTTGTCACTTAATATCTTAAAAAAGTTGCTGCGCTTGTGTTATGGAAATCCGAAACAACGTAGGTACCACAAACACCCAGACCCGAGACAATCCGGAAAGTTAGTTTTTCTACACTGACCCGACCGGGGTCGAACCCGGAATTTCGGAGATGGCGACACCATAAAAAGCGGTGCGCGAGCCACTCAACCACAGAGGTTGTCAAGAGAATTGAATTTATATTTTTTTAGATACCTAACCTAACCATGCACGTCGAAAACGCTACCTATAACAGTTGCAGTGCCACACAGAGCTTAAATTGTAAAGATCTGAAAAGCGCCCTGAATCATAAAGTTGACTAATCCCACATTTCTGTACTTTCCCCAGCAGCTCACATTACTGCTTGGATATAAAAATATGTATGGCGGTTGGCAGTACTTAACCTGGAAAAACTCCTTGCAAAAGGATCTCTATTGCTAAATGAACCCCTAAGTAACAAGCTTGACATGTTCTTGACTTTATAAAATAGATAATTGTTACATGAATTGATACGTATCTATCAGGAACAGATACAGAAAGTAGTTTTTTCCTAAACAGATTTAGGTGTAGACAAGACATCCTAAGTCTAATTAGGATGTTAGGACAAATTGTAAAACCAAGTATAATAAGTATAAGGATTAGATAATACACAACAAATCTAACACATACGTTGTGCTAAATATGGCTTAAGAACTAGTGAGGAGTTCATAACATTTTTGTTACAATTTCTGTACATAAATATATAGCACCTGTAAGTGAGAGGTAAAGGTCCTGAAGAACATTTACGCAGTACGTCGGATTCATATCAGGGGGGTCTACTCTCGATCTGCGTCAGACATCCGTCCGAAACGATTACTGTCAAATAAGTAATATTCGACAAAATTAAAAGACAAGTATCATCATCATTCATTCGCATCACGTGTCTTTTCATTTGGTCAAGTATTGCTTATTTGGCAGTAATTGTTTCGGACGGAGATCGAGAGTAGACCCCCAGGTTCCGAATCCGAGAAATGACGGTCCGAAATGTCACAGGGATCGTTTTGCCTCTAAGTGTATAAGGGTTATTCGTATTTTTTCGGATTCGAATCCAGCTTAGGGCACAACCGACATCCGTAGTGGATACGAGTTTTTTAGATTTTAATAGTTTCGGATTTGATACGAATAGCGGATGCGGATTTTTAAATGCCTAATTAAGAGTAATGAGGCTCTTTAAAACGCTCTGGAGTAAAAATTACTATTTGGCACCTAAGGTTGTTTATCTCTCACCTACGGATATTGTTAAGCAATTTAGATGACAAAATACAATCACCATTGCACATCACTGAAGATGTGCCAATTATTCCTTCATAATGTGTTAAAAAAAGAAAAGGTTTCAATAACGCGATATCGGAATTTTAAGCGCTTGGATAACTTCAAGATATGAGCACAAAAAGCAAAGCTGAAATTTCAATGCAAAATACTCAGGATTTTTCACTAAAACCTTTCCAATAGTGTAGGACAAACCGAGTAAGTCACGGACGTTAATTAATTAAAAAACTTTTTATACCTTCTGTTTATTTTATCTACTAAGCCTTCATAAAACAAATTTAAAAACGGCAAACAATCTGGAACAATCTAGTTAAAGTATGAGGGTTCTTAAAAAGCCATGTTTTATTTTGCAAAATATTATCTTTCGTTTTCACGAAGCGTAAAAGTAAACCAGATTTAAAAACATTTTATTTTTCTTTCTGTGACTTAAGAATAAGCAGATATAACATACCCAAACGCTTAGCTGCTTCGGCTTAATAATAATTGCTTTGCAATACATACGTTACAGATACGTTTAACGACATTTCACAGTTTTAACTTACTTTTTAAGGATAATTAATAAAAGGGGTGTAGAAGGGTCGAAGGCAAACAATTTATTCGCGAAATTATTAACAAATTTTAATGTTGTCATGTGTATTCTATTACCGAATCCACTAAAAATCAGTGAGATGATAACAAGTTGACTGGATGATGGATTTCGTAACAGCACAGCGCACTAGGGTTTGCGTCCGGTAATATTGGTCTGGAAAATTTCGAGTCTTGAGGATGTTTTGACATTTTCGAGATTATCGAGAATATCGAGACTTTTGAGATTTAAAGTTCTAAAAATGAACTAAACCATCAGTATTTTCTTATTCAGGTCACCTGGACATGGCAAATGGGCATGTAGAATGGAACTTAGTATAACCTGTGAAGATTGAAGAACTATAGTAATATACCTAATCAGGTTCTCCGTGTTTGAAACTACATTAACGCTTTCTGTTTCTTACGTGCCCAGTAGAAGTATAAAAATTAGAAGAAGAACACTCTTGTAAGCATTTTTATTGTATTATTTGAGTTAATAATAACTCGATTAAAATTACATGTTTTCACTGCATAATAAATAAATAAATAAATATGGAAATCTTTCATTGAAATAGTCTCGAAAGTCTCAATTTTTTCCGGGACACGAAAATGGTGCAAGATTGAAAGCCCTACACACTGTATTATTTATATATTTTTGTTGTTATTCGTTGTGTTATAATTTCTTAAGTGCTGTGCTTACTTACCATTTGTTTTAAATTTAAGTCGTAATGTATTATGTATTGTAGCCATATAATATGTGTGTAATGTATTGTTATTTTTCAAAGTAATCATAATACGGCTAAGAGAAATGCTAGCTTTAGATTCACAATCTAACCACTATCGCGGACTAATAACTACAAGCGCACCGTAAAGCTCTTTCAGTTCATACAAATTGAGATCGAATGTTTCGGTTAACTGAGAGCGCACCAAAGCCAGGATCTGACGATGGGCGGACGCGCTCCCAGGGTGCAGGCTACCTTCTCGCCTTAAAATACTGGCACAGCAGAACCTTCTTGAAGGCTTGTCTGAACACCTTGTTAAATATCGTGTAGAATATAGGATTTACCATGGAACTTGCATAACCTAACCATAACGCGCAATCAAAGACCCAAGGAGGAATATTCTTCTCGCATTCTGGGCAGACCGCCGGGACCATATTCAGGATGAAGAAAGGCGCCCAAAGCACGACAAAAGTGAAGAACACAACCCCAAGCACTTTGGTAGCTTTTTGCTCTAGACGCAATATTCTACCGTGACGCGAAGAGTTGCGCGATATTACACTCGAATTCCTCGAATGATGCGTTCTTGGTGTCGTCTGTCGTTGTGGACTAGAACTCACTGACGTTTGTTGTCGAGCATTAATGGATCTTTGGCGAATACTTCGAGCTGGTGTTGACAATGTCGTTCTTGCACCGCCAAAACTGGATCCTCTACGAAAACGTCTAGCTTCGTCCCATGTTACCATTGATGCTGCCCCACGGCTAGATCGTCTAAACAAAGGTGTCGATTGTTCGTCTTTCATGTTACCGTTTCGAGGATATCCGTTGCAGCCGTTGATATCTCCTCCAGGGACAATAATGACTTCTGTAGTGCGTCTTGGAGGCGTGGAATCAGAGCCAAAGTACGGACAGGTGCATGGCGGAGGTAGTAATAGTCCATCTTCTGAACTTCGGGATTTGGCTGTCAACGTTGTCGGTGCTAAGAGGCCATCGTTACCCTCGTCATCTGAAGCGCTTCTTGGCCTATGGAGCGGTGTATTCGGATCACACGTCGAAGACGGCCTTCGGCGGTCTTGGAGCATTGAAGATGGTGAACTAGAAGAAACGCTCATAGACCCCGGTGTTAGCATTCCACCGCGTTCCGAAACATTTGTCCTGTAAAACAGTATTTTATTAACAACGTGGCCTCAAAAGGTGATTGAAATAAAACGAAAAATTGGTGCCAAGTGTAACAGGTCCAAACGGGAACATTTAGTACATAGAAAGCAATACAAACTTTATTGCAAATTGGAATTGGATTGAATAGTCAATGTAAATTCCACTTGATTGCTTGCCACATCTATTAGAAATTTTGAAGCGTACAAATATATATTTGCCAATTAGTATACCCTCTGTACTGTGGTTTGGTCGCAGCGGATGCTTCCAAGCCTCTCGAGAGTCTCAACATCTCAGCCCCAAAGTGATGCAGTGCGCTCATTGCCGACGGAGCAGGCTCGCTGTGCAACACAACACGTAAAATGAGACTACACAGGTACACATTGAGCAAGGCTGCAAGGCGACATTAACGTTTGCTATAACTCGGTAAAGAAGCTTTACTTTTATTAATTTTCTGTTAGCATTACAAGTGCTGATATTAAATATTCGCGCTATAATTAGCAGCAAATTAAGCCCTTTTTATTAATTTCTTTATTTTCAAATTTCTTCACCGATATTATTTCAAAGATTAAACAATAAACAGACACTTAAACATCGGACATGCGCACAAACTTAACTCCATTAATACTATACATAGAAACCACAACAACACATAACTCTGATCGATAATGAGAATACTTTAAAACCATAACAAATACTGATTTAGAGTATTCATCTAAAATCAAAATGTGACAAAGCTATAATTCTGCTCACGTCATCACTATAAATGTGTTTAGTACCAGTATAAAAAGAACTTGAAGAGACATAAACTTTTACACGTGTTGGCATGTTGCCGATATGGCTTTTTTGAACTAAAGTAAAAAGTAGCGTTAAATGCTTGTCACAGAAACATGTAGGTATAGTATGATTTTATTAATATCTTTATGGATCTTACTGAAACCAAAGTTAAATTCCCTGTGTATTTGCCAATCAAAGTTTAGCTGAAATTTCTTAGTTGACAGTTACTGTCTTGAACAATGTATTTTAAGTACTTCTAAAACTTAAGATATTTGGAATAATGTGTCTGAATAAGACATTTCACATAACAAAAGGGCATACTACACTTTTTAATCTTTGAACATCTAATGAAGTGGTCTGTTTGGAATCTGTTTATAAATTTGATTTATTTTATTGCAATCGTAGAATTTAAATCATAAATAAAAAACCTTTTAATCAAATTGGTTGGCGGTATTCCTGGATGATGAACTGACAGATGGTTGATTTTTGTTTGATGGATGATTATAACTTGTTGTCAACGATTTAACCAGACTGATTTGTTAAAGAAAGCCATTTCCCAAATGCTCTGTTTTTTTCGTAAGTACTATAGCACACACGCTGACAAGAAAATATGTTTTGTAATTCCGTGTTATGGAAATATTTGTTATTGGAATCTAAACCGCGTATTTGTTTTTCAAACAAACCTATATTTCGGACTCCTTATATGTCCCATGATCACGAGATGGTGTTAGTCATCAACCAGTTATGTCTGTCTGAAGTATTAATTTAATTACCTTATTTTTAATTTGCCAAAGAATATATTCCAACTTATGCTACATACGATTGACAGAATATTTCAATAGTATGCATTTTCAACTAAATCAAATTTATGAATTAAGAGAAAATTTTATCTTAACAAGCAATACTGCATTCCATAGTTTCCCAAAGCGGTCCCTACCGCCCCCCAAAGGGCGCTGAAGAATCCTATGTCCTGGGGCCTCGGAAGCAATTGGGGGGTTAAAAAAACCTAAATTCCTCTGCTGAGTGACCTAAGTAATAGGTACAAGATTTTAAGATCCAATTAAGTAATGATTGATGGTGAATGACAAAATTTTTCTAAGAGTAAATTAAAATTAAACTAAATTAAGTTAATTAAACACAACCAATATTAAAAAATATATTATTAACAATCCACGACAACAAACTCAAACGAAAGACAAACAAATTCTGCTTAATAAAAAACAAAAGAGGTAGAATAGAAATATCCGTGATTGGCCAAGTACCGCTTATATTTTAACCAATCAGGAGACAGTAGAGCGTTTGAGTAGCGTGATATTGATAACGTGATATTTTATTATTTTTATTTTTATTTTTATTATTATTTTTAAATAGTTCTTTTTTCCACAAAGGTTACGCCTTTGTGCCTGTTATGTAACATTTTGAAACATTACTTAATAAAATAAATTGTATTTTAAAATTTTCCCAAATGGAGCGACGTTATTCTGTTCAGGAACACAATGACACGTTTAAGGAGACTTTTTTAATTCGACGTTCTTTTTTGATGCTCATTGTAATGTTGTGTCATCAAGTATTAACCAGAAATAGAAAGGAATTATGGGCCATCTATGCATATGGCAAATGGGTCTTATATCATTTTTAAATATCATCTCTCGTTTGCGCTGAAATCACAAATTAGAAAACTAAAATAGTACAGCGCCAACAACTGACCTGTGTGTACGTCTCTGTATATTCCAAAAATATTCTGTATTTATTGTAATAAAGATAATATCTCTAACTACGGGGGGCTATTCCATTCGGTGGTTGGGAAAAATAAGAAAACATCTAATTACAAAACAAACGGAATCACATTTCATCGGTAATTATATATTAAATATGTAATTTTGCAATTTTCGTCCATTTTAAAGCCCAAGTTACGGTGGTTGATTTGAAGTGAAACAATTGACGACACTCATCAATTATTTCGAATTTGGGCTGGCCAATCGGATTTCAGTTGTCACAGTAATGATTTGGCAGAATAAATAGTTTTCAAACAAATTAAATGACATTTCGTCTTTATTTCTGGTTATATACTTGGTGTTCTGTGTACAGAACTATAATGAAATTTTTCACTGCAGTAGCGAGTGTTATAGATAATAGAATTTTTTGTTCAGAACTAAAAAGAGCGCCTTTGTGATATAGTTTATGAAATTATAAATGACGAATTAAAGTACTGGAGTACAAAAAATTGTTTCATTTTCAATTTCATTTTGGTTTTTGTTCACACTAACATATAATTTATAGCGACACACGTAGGTTTTATATTCCTTAAACGTGTCAGGGGATAACAGGTGACATTTTCTAAGCCATCTATTGCTAACGCGACATTGGTTTCCTTTTCATGTATTAGACCCTCGTCACATTATTCAAATGTGATTGTATCGAAGAAACACAAACGTTGTCAAAATGTAAAGCTAAATTCTAAAACAGTTCTCAACAGCATTTCATCACCGAAGACCTGTTGGATTAAAATTGGAATCATAAAGTTTTGCGAGTCTCAAAGCGTTCCATTTGTCGCTCACTGAATACACAAATGCTAAGTCTATTGCATTTTCAAGCAACATTTTTATGTTAAGGCAGCAGATCTAATTTATTTGTGCGCTGTGTGAAAATTAAAATATATCTAGAAGACGCATTGTAATGAGCAACTTGAAAGGCCAGTATATGAAAAGAGTGACGTTGGCTTTAAAAAAATTGTTATAGTATCAAGTGACGGGACGAACAAGTCGCGCGCCTGATGGTAAGCTACACGACTGTCCAAAACAGTTGTAGTGCCACTCAGAGCTTTAAATCGTAAGGATCTGAACTGCGCTCGTCACTCTGAGACATAAGTTGACAAATCCCATGTGTAATTTCACCAGCACCTTTACCCTTCAAAACCGGAACACAGTAGCTGACATTGATTGGTGGCAGGAATAGGTAAGGTATGCAGTAGTACCTTGGACGAACTCTTTCACAAGGAGCTCTACTGCTACCAAAAACTGTAATTGTAGTGTAAACCTCTGATCAGGGATACCACCTCAATCACATTACGTCTTTCTTCTTTTGTGCGCAGACGCCTGCCAGCTGTCGCCGCTAGTATTCTAATTTTTGGTGACATCACACCTTTTTTGTAACTTTCCACGTTTTCCGAACAAAATCTACATATTTTTACGCTGTATTAACATTTTGAGATGTTATTGTACAGTTTTTTCTAAATGGGATAGCATGGGGAAATCCGAAAACACGGAAGATATAAGGAAACTGTCTTAGGAACCATTAAGTATTTTTTATGTAAAAACAATTTTGGTATAGTAAATTTTTTGGTCAAGCTTGAGTTGTCCATAAAAATGAATAAAATTGATCAATAATTTATTTAGTGCTGATCAACTCTGTTCTATGTAGAGATCATTTCATTGTAAGGAAGGAAAAAAATCGGGACAGCAGAAGTTAAAAGTAAAATTTCATAAAGTGTTTTTCATACAAAATGCTATTCATATTTATTAAATTCTATATTCATATAATAAGTGCTTTAAGATCAGGAATCGAAATTAGGGTACCAAAGAATAAATATGTTACGTTAACAGAAAACCCGATTTAAGTGACCATCGACAAAAATCTGCTGAGTATTTACTTAGAGAGCAATTAGAGAAAAATTCGTAACTTTTGCACTCTGGTTCAGATTTATAGCATAGGTTTCATTTTACCCCACTTAGATTATTTTAGATTTATTACACTTCATTATATAATCAAATTCAGTGTCATTGCTTAATGCTTAATAACTGCTGTTTTGGAATGTACACCAGCACAAATTTAAACAAACATCAGTTATAAAAATATTTAGGAAAAAAGTTAACAATAATTGTTTTTTGTATTCTGAATCTATAAGGCAAATTTTAACGTAAGTACTTTTAAGATTCGACCAAATTTTGTCAGTTACATTTGCATTAGTGTGCTTCAGTGCCGACTATACCTCATTTAAAGTATAGTTTCAATATCAATACCATTCTGACACGTGCTGACAAGTGGATTCCGTCGGTTAATGCGCAAAATCTGCGTAAAATACCTAAAACCACCACGACCCAGCTCGTGAGTTTCAAATTGATGAATGTCTAGCGATCAATTTTGTTGTAACGCTGTAGGCGGCGACGGAATGCAATTTGTATCGGAACGCCTATAATAGCTTTATTAATAGCCTTAATGTTTTCTGAACCACAGATAAAGTTTTCTTTGTAAAATATTGCAGTACTTGTAAATATTTCTTTACTTTAATTAATTGGACATCTTTGTAGTTCCACCGCTCTTTCCGTTAGTTATAGGGGAAAGCGGGGCTGATCGTTCCGATTTTCGAATAAGTTGAAGTTTTATACTGAAAATGAAGGATTTGATTTTCAACATGTGGAAATATTGAACAAATGTTTATCGCTTTTTGTAATAGTATAGTCACGTCTACTAATATGTCAATAGTCTTTTTCATAGAGGCAAATTTTTGACAAATTTCGGAGCGGAACATTTAGCCCCGCTTTGGGGCTCCTTTGAGGCAAATTGT